TGCAACGGGGACTTTCTAGAGCGTCTGACAAGATGGAGTTAGATGTGATATAACTACCAGGGGCGTGACATCCCATCATCACCTTTGCCATCCTCTGTTGGCCAGGACGCCACAGTCAGGGAAGACACTACACAAACGCACAAAGGCTCCAGGAGGGTCATGGGGGTCATCTCAGATCCAACTGCCATAACCACTACCCATTATTTTTGGCAACAAATGAGTGTATTCCTGAAAAACGATTGAACTAAGACTTCATTTTATTCTAATGTCTCTCAGGCACAACAAATTCTTGACAAAATAAAACCAAGCTAAACCACTGACTCTTATGTGAGACTGAGGACCGCAGCAGAGTAGGGTGGAATGTATAGAAACGGGAGTCAGGTGATCTGGCCTGGCTGCTTGCCTTAGTTTCCTCACAGGATTAAAAACAAACAAACAAACAAAAACTGTAATAGATGACATCTAAAACTCCTTTCACTTCTAAGATGCTGGTTCTCAACTGCAGATTAGTTTGAGACTTGAAAAACCTAAGCAGAGATCTGCAGACACAATTTATGTGGCTCATGAACTTGTCTGAGAAAAGATTTTTAACCTAAAACTGAAAATTTACATTCTATTCAATTATGAATTCAAGCAACAAAAATACAGTAAAGTTTATCATCAGCAAAAATCAAATATTTTTATATATTACAGATATCTCAAAATAACATTTATAATAATAAATACTTTAAGATAGTAATCTGGAGAAATTAGGCCAGCTGCTAGAGAATATAATTTCATGAGTTAATATAGCATAATACTGTATGAAAAATTCATTTCTCTTTTACTATCTTTAAGTATACTCAAGTACAGTGGGTTCTGTTATAATTTTAATTTTTTATATTGTGATTTTGAACCATATTCTTAGATGGAGTCCTGAGTTCATAAGCACGCCAAAGAAGTACACAGCACAAAAATACGAAATTCTTGTTTTAGAGGAAAGCTTTTTAAAAACCTTTTTTTTTGGTGGGACCCTCGCCGGTGGCCGGGGATCGAACCGGCGCTGCAGAGGCTGCGGGCAGCCTCGCAACCCAGAGCTCAACCGCTGCACCACCAGGGGAGGCCCAAAGAAACATTTCTCTTTTAATTCATAAGATGGGACTGTGTTTAGGAGTTGTAGGTCGAAAGTCAGACTGCTTGAAGCCAAATCTGGCCTCTATCAATCACCAGCTGTGAAACTTTGGGCAATTAAAAAACCCGTCTGTGCCTCACATTCCTCCCTCCTTGATAGGTGGGTGAGAGAGTCCTTTATATTAGACAGTTGTTACAGGGTTAAAGGGGAGTTCCTGAAAAGCACTCAGAGCAGTGCCTGGACATTAAGGGTAGATAAGTAGACACAGAAATACGACTATGCTGTCCTGTTAGGGTGCAAATCTCAGTTTGCAGAATTAAAAAGAAATGTGAGTTTGATACGACAGTTTGAAGGTCAGAGTTAGTGAAGCTATTCTAAATAGTAACCTACTTAACTTTATAGAAACAGGACAACCAAACTGTGGTGCATGGGCCATATCTGGACCAAATGTCTTTTTTTTTAGTAGCCTGTAAGCTAAGAATGTAAAAACCATTTTTAAAAATGGTTGGGGGATAACACTATTTAATGAATGACACATGAAAATGTTAAAAGTTCAAATTTCAGTGTCCATAAAGTTCCAATAAAACCCAGCCACTATCAGTCATTTAAGTATTGCCCAGGGCTGCTTTGACACTATGATGAAAGTTGAGTAGTACTGACAAATCATATGACACCCCCCCCCCCCGCCCAAGCCTAAAGTATTTATTCTCTAGTCATTTAAAGAAAAGTTTGCAAACCCTACTTCTAAAACATGCAAATCACAAGAGATGAGACATAGAAAGTTGCTTCAGTAAGTCTAACCAAGCACACATCTTACCAATATTACTTAATTTTGTTCTGGAAGATGTGGTCAGTAAAATTAAAATCACACATAGCTGGCAGCCTTTAAGAGGTCCAAAATAATTTCTACCTCCTGGTTTTCACACCCTTGTATAATCCCTTCCTCATAGGTAGAATCTGTAGGTAGAATCTGTCTGTTACTTGCTTTTAACAGATAGTATTGATAAAGGGATGCCAGTCCCATGGTTATGTTACATGGTGTTAAGACTCACTTCCTGCTGGCTTTGCAGATGCAAATAGTCATGGTGTGAGTGGGCTGTATGGCAAAGGAATGGAGGGTGACTTATGGAGCTGACAGCAGCTCCAGTCAATAGTTTGCAAGAAAAATAGGCTCCTGGTGCTACAACTCAAAGGTGATGATGTTACCAATGTGAATGAACTTGGATTCCTCCCCAGCTAAGCCTCCAGATGAGAATATAGCCAGAATCACACCTTTCTTCCTTCCGGTACCGTCACAATCTGAGCAGAGGACCCAGATTAGAAATGTTAGAATTCTGACCCATAAAACTGAGAGATAATGAACATATTTTTTAACTACTAAGCTTGTGGAAGTTTGCTATGCAGCAACAGAAAACAAATACATGGTTTGTCCCCTCAGCAGTGCCTCAAGATGACTGCAGTCCCGGTGGGAATCTTAATTAGTCTCCCAAACAAGACACACCCAGCCAAACTACACGTAGATCTGTGACCCACAGAAATTATGACAGATTTCTGTTGTTTTAAGTTTTACGGTAATTTATTACAGTGGATGACTAATACAGCATGAGGTAAACAAGAGCACAAATGCTAAAAGAAAAGAGGGACAGGGCCTCCCTGGTGGTGCAGCAGTTGAGCGCTGGGTTGCGAAGCTGCCCAGCAGCCTCTGCAGCGCCGGTTCGATCTCCGGCTGCGACCCGGCCACCAGAGGAGTGTCCCGCATGGCGCGCAGACCTCTCCTGCTGCCCGCTGCTCCCCTCAGCAGTGTACTTGTCTTTCTGCCTGCTCTGCTCCCCGCTCTGGCTCTGGTGAATTCTCTCACCCTCCTGCGCTTCTGACTGTACCCAGTGCTTGTATAAATAAATAAATAAATCTTCGAAAAAAAAAAAAAAATGAAAGATTATACCTAAAAAAAGAGGGATAATAATCTTAGAAAACCGAAAGAAAATTTAAAAAAAATTAAGATTAATAAACTGGTTCAATTCAAGATAAAAACTGAGCAATATACTATAAATTTCCAAAAGTATTTGTAATAAGAATGTGATTCTACTTTTAATAGCAATAAAAGTGAAAATACCCAGGAATTTACCCAAATGACTTACTATAACTTTTTACTGAGCAAGATAAATTAGGACATGTATAAAAGAGCAATGTTAATATTGTAAAGTCAGTTTTGCCCAACTTTTTAATAGGCTTATTTGATTCTAACCAAAATAAGGGGATTTCTTCTAGAACATGACAAAATTATTTAATTGTTTTCTGGATGAATTGACAAGATTAAGATCAATTTTAATTAGAAGTATAAATTAGAAGAGCTTATAGAATATAAGAAATTAAACCAAGGAGGCAATTCACTAAATATGCAAATTTTTAAGTTCATGGCTAAGCATTATAGCATGTGCGTAACAGCAAAAAGCTAGACACAAATGTCAACCTACCAAATCGGATTATTTGAAATCATATTTAAAGAAAAGGTAGTTGTAAGAAAAATAATTATAGTGAAAAAATGCAAGATGTGAATTTATACGGAACATGATTACACAATTCTATTTAAAAACAATAAAACTTGCAAGTCTATATCTCTTTAAAGTCCCTCTACAGGGGCTTCCCTGGTGGCGCAAGGGGTTAAGCACCACACTATGAAGAAATCCACAGCCTCTGCAGCATGAGTTCGATCCTTGGCTGGCCAGGGAGCAACCAACATGGCGCGGCAGACCTCTCCTGTCTCACCCGCGGCTCACCGCAGCAGTGTACTTCGGTCCATCTGCGAGTTCTGTTCCCCACTCTGTCTCTGGTGGATCCTCTCTCACTCCCCATATCTATGGCCTGTACCCCAGTTCTTGTATGCATAAATAAATCTTAAAAAAAAAAAAAATAAAGTCCCTCTACAAAGAGAGGAAAACTTAATGGCTCCATTTCAGTGGTCGAGACAATGGATAATGGTGTCCCCTCTTCTTTCTACTCGCTTAGCACAAAACCCTGGGTATTCTAGAGAAAAATCCAAGAGAAATAATTTTCCCTTAAGGAACACAGACTTCCACCTGGAAAAAAGGCATCTCGCCACTCTACTCACCTATTAACTACAATTTTATTTTATTTTTTTGCGTAGAAGAACTGGGGTAAAGGCCAGAGGTGCAGGGGTGAGAGGATTCGCCAGAGACAGAGTGGGGAATAGAACATGTGGATCTACTGAAATACACCCCAAACCCTTGCATGGCACTGGAGGGCCAGATTCTGGGAACCCCTCTTACCTCAGCTTTCTGAGCACTGGCCCCATAATTCTGTATAGAAACGTAGTAAAGAAAATGTCTACCAAGTTAGGATTAATATGAGACAAAATTGGATCAAGAATCTCTTTTTTGTCTACATAGATAAAATTTTGCTCTAAGTTTCTCTGTATCTCAAATGCATTGGAGAACTGTTTCCCTGGCGGGGAGGCTAGAAGCTCCTTCATGATACAAATTATGCTACTGGTTATGTGAACAACAGATGAACATACTCAAACGTCAAACATGCAGTAAAATCTAGTTTTAATTTGTTAGGCAACGCTTTACAAATGCTGCAAACAAAAATCAGATCGAAAAGCATATACTGAGAGGCAGAAATTCTGTACTTTGAATATTAGCTGATGGATCCAGATTTCTAAGAGTAAAAGAGAGTCAAGAATTATAACGAAATTAAAATTCGACTGCAGAAGGAACCAAACAAAGGGCTTTAAAATCCATTTGTAAATACTCAGTCCACACTCTTACTAAGTATCTAATGATCAGTTCTAGTTTGCTACAGAATGAAAATCACTATGACTGTTTAGATCTCTGTGCAAGAAATACTTAGTAAGATCAGAATTACTCACGTAATATCCCTTCGTTGATAGCAGCCCTGAAGCAGACAGGCAATCAGGTCACTGATAAATTCTACATCATCTCTGTGAAGAGCTGCTTCTAACTCCTGAGAAGATAAGGAAAAGTAGACTGTGAGATCAGATTTTTTAAAATCCATCTACCCCTTCCTCCCTCCACCACCATCACCCCCCCCCCCAGGCAAATGAATAGAGAGTTGCAGAAAAAGCTCACTGTGGATCGACTCTGCCCTTCAAGTTACTGTGGCAGAGAATCTAGAGTTCAGACTTGCGTTCCCTAGGGTTCACTTCTACCACTGCTGCTCCAGACCTTTTATCTGCACACTATGAGTTTAACACGTGTCTCTTTTTATAAATAGCAAAGAGCTTAACTTACATAAATATATGCTTTCTACTTTAATGTTAAGAGAATCAAGGAGTAAATACGTAATTAATTAAAAAGTGTTCTTTATCAACAGGCAAACCATCTGCAAAGCTTGAAAGAACACTCCGGGGGTGGAGGGAGACAATGTAGGAAGCAATGCAGCAGTTTTTCTTTTGAGAACACTGTACCTGTATGACTGATAAAAGATTGCTAGAACTGAGATTAATCTTACATCATCTGGAGAGTAGTGAGGTAATGTCTATGTTAATGGTTTAATCCTAGGTGAGATGTATTTGCTTTCCTTGGGGTTCAGGCAGACATTACCAAAGATTTATTTTGCCTTAGCATGGTATTCTAAACAAAGGTCAGTTGAGCAGATCTATCGGGACAAAAAGTGACTTGAAAATTTTTGGAAATCCTATTTCCCTTCCTAATCTCTCCCAATAAGCTGATATGTTCTGATTCATCAACACTTGCGATATAGTTTGCTCGCATCTTCCAATCAGGATGCTATCATCTGCTTGCAAACTACTTTCCAAGGGCCTGCTAGGCTCAGACTAGCTCATAACCAGAAGCTATAATCACAGAAAAACCAAACTTTGAAGGATCCAGTGATGGCTCTGAAAACAAGGTGTGCATAAGATGCAATTTCTGACCTTAACACCAATTACACGGCAGTGGATATGAAGTAGGGCAGTCTACTTTTACCAAGAAAACAGTAAAGCTCTTTTGTAAACTATTTTAATTGTTCCATTTATTATTTATTTTTGAAAAGTCCAAAGTCTGTAAACACTGGCTCTAAAAATATCACAGAAAAATTGTTAGGCACACTGACACAAATAAAATACTGAGGCCGAAAAGGAAGCCATCAGTAACCTACATGGCTTTGAAAACCCAAGTGAATCAAATTCAAAATTAAAAGGCAAGACTCCATCACTATGCCACACTTACAATTTTTTTGTATGTACCATGACAGATGTTAACTAGATTTATTATAGTGATTATTTTGCAATATATTCAAGTATCAAATCATATTGTATAGCTGAAACTAAAATTATATTGAGCAAAAAAGGTACAAGCTTGAAAACATGTTACATTAGCTTATTAATTCTTGTGGGCAAAGTTCTTTCTACGTTATAGTTAGTGATTATCCCCAAATACAAGATACCTTACTAGTCAGGGATCTAAGCTATAATTAGAATTCACTCATTCAACAAATATTTACTGTACACCTCCTTGTTTAAGATAATATAGTACACTTCCTAAACACTAAGTAGGTTATTCTACTATAGTTGGGAGAGATAAGACAGTATACACACACGCACACAATGTAACTGGCCTATTAGGTACAGAAAAAGCACTACAGGTGCTTAGGGAGTTAAGGATTACTTGTGGCTGTGGGAAGCCTGAGAGGTTGCAAGAAGACAGGGGCAGCCGAGATGGGAAATTGATGTCTGTGACAATAGGGGAGAGGCAGGGGATCACTAGGTGCAGGAGCCACCAGGAGGATATTAGGTTCAGTGGAACTGTTCTGTAGATTAAGTGAGGGAGTAATGTGAGCCAAGATTGATAGGCGATACTGAATACCAAGCTAATGAGTTTGGCCTTTCTTTGGAAGACAATGGAGATCCACTACAGTTATTTTTAGAGGAGAGGCACCGTGAGGGTAATCCAGCTACTACGTGTATTTGGTGTATTCTAGTGGCACAGGGTGCGTGTGTGGTTGGGGGACACAGCAATGTAAGTACAAGCAACAGCTCAGGAGAGATTCTGAAGGACTTACTGAAAGAGAGAGATAGCAAGAGAAAGGCATGCATTCAAGATCTGATTAAAGTGAGTGAGGGAAGGCAACGCACAAGACTCAAAGGTGAACTGCAATCATAACAGAAGCCGAACCCCTGAAGAAAAGTCCCAGATCATCTTGTTTGATAGATAAGTCCAAATTACTGAATGCTTGAGCTGGAAGTTAAGTTAGAGATCATTTCAACTCTATAAACTTCAAGAAAGTAGGACCAGAAGGTTAATTACCTTCTCAACTATGCTCAGCAAACTCATGACAAAGTCAAGTGAAACTCAGATCACCCAGCCTCTAGTTCACACACACACACACACACACACACACACACACACACACACTTCTATATGCAAAATCTTCCTAACTGACCTTCCACTTTGTTGGCTGCACCAGCAATCCCTTAGCACTGTATTATGCTTACAAATGGTTACACATTTCTACTGGTGTTCTTTTCTCTTCCTTATCAGTGTAGACCACAGAGCACAGTACGATTCTTGATCAAAGGTGGTGTAGTTCGTACTGAGGCTTCCTAGTGTTTTTTTTTTAAAGGTTTATTTATACAAGAACCAGGGTACAAGCCAGATGTGTGGGAGGGTGAGAGGATTCACCAGAGCGCAGGGAACAGAACAGGCAGACTGATGAAATACACTGCTGAGGGGAGCAGCAGCCGAGATAGGAGAGGTCTGCCTCATCATGTAGGTTGCTCCGTGGACAGCAGGGATTGAACCGGCACTACAGATGCTGCGGACAGCTTCACAGTGCTGCGCTCAACCGCCTGCACCACCAGGGAAGCCCTTCCTTGTGTTTTTAAAGAAGGGAAGTGCCAAGATAAACTGTGAAAAAGGCCACAACTGAAGAGCTAAAAACTGGAAAGACTATGCCAAGGACAGGACTGCGTGTGTGTGTGTGTGCGTGTGTGTGTATTTGTAAAAATCGTAGGATACCAGTAGATCACTTTTGTTCTATAGTAAATAACTAAAAATACTGATCTTACTAAACAATCATATTGTTCAGCAAAATCTGCATTAATTTTTAGCTGGGATTCTTAAAAAAAAAAAAAAGTCACTCTTATAGCAAAAAGTTCAAGCTATAATGCTAATTCCCTTTCTTTTCCATCACCTGCCTCCTACCCACAGACATTCTCTTCTGGCTTAGGCTTGACAAAATGATTCCCTTCCTATCATTCCCTTCCATCTGAGATTTAAGAGAGAAAAGGTTGTTTTACAGCTAAATTTATGCCTAGTTTCTGCTTATAATATTGTCCTCTGAGAAGGCAAAAATAAAATGTTGTAGCAATAGTGTCACTGATTGCCCTTTATATTCTTTAAAAAGCAAGCAAAAAACCCAAAATGCAATCTGTTAGTTTCATTCACCTCCTTCCTCATATTCTGTTTCTGGGAAAGGAACATTCCTGGGTTTCTCCTCTAGGGCCCTACCTGTAACATTAGCACAGAAGTCAGCAAATCGTTGGCTGTCAAGTTAACTCAAAAAATATGTAGTGTTCACCCACTTATGCCACACAATAGACAGAAAGGTGAACAAGGAAGTCCCAGCATGTTTCTGAAGGAAAGGAATGAAAGATGACTAAAATATAAGCCAAAATTGGGGACATCTTTACTTATTTTTTTATTGTGTTCACTGCTGTGTCCCAGCAACTTCTACAATGTCTGATGTAGAACAGAACAGACATTCTAGTGTTTTCTTAACTGGGTAGTGGCAAAGAATGAAAATGTGATACTCTATTAAGGTACACAATGGGGAAATGGAAAATAAAACAGAAACTGAGGAAAGAATGAAATTTTGCAAAGGAGGTAAGATTTCCCTAGGGATTTCAAGAGGAGCATCTTACGGGGCAGGTGTGTAGTGACAAAGAATCTGTGAAAGACCGGGGGCATCTGTAGGGAACACCACAGTGAAAATGGGGAGCAGCGAACAGGAAAGGTCTCTTCCTTCAGGTCTTCTCTGAAAATTACACTAACCTGTGAATTTTACTTCTGTGCATAATCAAGTGTCTCAGAAAAACAGTTCTGACAGCAGTTTGTGGAATGACTGGAAGGGAACCAGCAATAGAAACACTGTGAGCATCCACATCACCTGAAAACTTGTTGGAAGCACCGAGCCTCAGGTCCCAGGACAAATTTTACTAACATCAGAATCCGCATTTTAACAAAAGCCCCAAGATTCATTTGGAGGTGCTAGTCTAGACATAAAGGGTCAGAGCCTGAATTAAATAAAGCAGCAACTGTGGAAACAGAAGGGAAGGCTTTGAATATGAATTATCAATAAATGTTGGGTTGATGAACAAAAGACAAAATACTAAAGAAAGACTAAAAAAGGGTTCTAAGATATATGCAACTCTCGAAAGCCAACTTCACTTCTTAAATAAGGACTCTGAATTAAATGCTAACCCCATTGTAACCCCACTCTCAAATAATAATCTCAAATACAGCCAAAGCCTCCTGTTTGTCTAAAAACACTAGCATTAATATTAATATATAGTTTTAATGAAATCATGCAGATGAAGTTTTCTTCCTGTGGATCTGAAGCCTGTTGAAACAGACTGAAGAATCCAATGTAATCCAGAGATACAGATGCACACTAAGCAATCTACTTCAATACAGATGAGTTGTCACAGGTGAAGAGTGGATTATTTACTCTCTATAGAAGAGGGTCATTTCTAACAACGAATCTATTAAAACCGGTAAAATGGGGAGGACATATCATGAAATTTCTGGTTAAAATGTTCTCCAAACAGTATCTTTATTACTACTGTTCCCAAGCAGTCATCAAGAAGAATCGCAGTAATTAGAGCAAGACTTTCAATGACCAAATAAAAACTAAGAAAGACCTCCAAAAGAGTGACTTAGCCAAAAGATAAAATGTCCTTAAGCCCACATTTTAAGTATATGTAAATTGAGTTTTCTAAGTCT